TCTTCCTACTTCCTCCCCATGGTTACCTCTTCCCTGTGTCTTTCCTTCCCATGCACTCCTGCTCCCCATCAGCTGTCTCCCTGTGCAAACACTGCCCTTCTGTTCTCCCCTGATTAATTGCTCCAAGTAGTGTATCTGCCTGGTGTAAACGTTCAGCCCATATGCCTATTATTTGGTTGGAAGCCATATGAGTGAGTTCAATTCCAGACCTGAAGGGTAGGTAGGAGCCATAGTCTCAGGAGTCTCATTAGGCTCTATGAGATCAGCAAACCTGAATCTTTTTTTTTTTAATTTATGATTTTGAGTTTTGTTCCACATTGTTCTCCCTCTCTATCCAGGATGTCCTGCACTAATCCCTCTCCGAGTGGTTGACAGTGGTGGCCAGGCACCATCTAGTTCTTCTGGTCTCATGGTCATATATAAGCTGAGGCTCACATGGTCTACCAGTCCCTTGGACTAATTGTTTCCATGTGTCTTTGGTTTTCTTCATTCTTCTTTGCTCTGGAGGAGGAGAGACCCATCATTGCATCTACATGGCCACTTGCAAACTTTTAAGATCCCAGTTGCTACTCACCAAAGAAGGATGTGGAACAATGCTTTTGTGTAGTATATTATGCCAATTAAGCTTGATGTCCCCTGTGACCTTGATGCTCAGACCTATTTTACATACCATTAAAATATATATATATATATTATTATTGTGTATTCAGTGAAAGTTTACACAGTAAATTAGGCTCCCACTTAATAATTTCTACACAAATTGTTCAGTGATGTTACATTTTTCACAATGTGTCAACATTCTCTTTAATTGCATTCCCGTTGTTCCATTTCCAGTTGTCTAGTATTCCCACTTCCTTCTCATTTTTGCTTTAGTCATTGTTGACCTTTTCATCTCAGAAGGATGAGTGTTTAATGGAGCACCCTTCTCATGGGTTCGGTCCGTTACTTTGTGAACCGATCTATCATTTCAGTAAACGATGACCTCGGGATAGCTTTGGTTCAAGGTTGAAAGACTATCTCAGAGCCGTAGTCTCAGGGAGTCCTCTAGTGTAACTGGTCCAATCAGGATGGACTTTCCAAGAATTTGAGTTCTGTTCTAGGTTTTCCTTGTTCTATCAGGCCCATCTGTTGTGGCCTCACCAGGCCATTTCTGTGCAGAGACTATTCATCTGTCTCATTCTCCTCCCATCCCATTTCCAGAGGCTTGCCAGTGTAGACATTCTGCTCCAGAAACAGGCCTTCAGTTGTGGACTAACACTGATTTTAACTTTAATTTGAAAAGCATCTCAAACGGGTAACTCTCTCATCACCTGCTGCTAATTATATCCATCACTAGCCCAAAGAAGGAGCTCTGGTGGCTTAGTGCTTAAGGCATTTGACTGCTAACCAGAAGGCTGGTGCTTCAAGCCCACCAGTCACTCCTTGGGAGGAAGGTTGGGCAATCTACTTCTGTAGTGATACTGCCTCGGAAACCCAAGGAGGAGTCGCTATGAGTCGGATCCGACTCCATGGCAATGATTGCATTTTATTTTTACCCCAGAGAAGTCTCCCCATGTCGGTCCTACAGAGAACCTCCTTCTGAAGGCCTGGTGGGTCATGGCTTCCCTGTCAAGGAACTAAATCTTTGACCTGCAGGCAAGTCATGAGACTCACCTGTCCCCACCCCCCATCCTCCCGCCTTAGGCCTCCCCTTCCTCCTTATCAACTCTTCTTCCCTTCAGCTTTCTAATTCGTCTTTGGTCACTTTTCTGCCAACTATTCATGATGTACTTATAAACCGTGTGCATACTCTCCAGCCCCTGCTTTGGGTCTAGGGTTACTCCCTTCTGATGGCTCTTATTCTGGCTCCCCAGAGTGGGAGTCATTCGGAAGAATCATCCCTCGTCTAAATTTACTAACATGAATCCTCCCTGGAGAAGAATCAGTCTCACCAACTATAAACCATATCCTCTGTCTTTAAAGTTAGCACCTTCCAAGGTCGGACCATCTGTTCCCAATCAGTTCTCCTCTAACACTTAGTGCCCGGGCCCTAACTATTTCTACCACCACAGGACTTCTAAGCTCTTTCAGAAAAACTGCAGGTCTTGATCCTCATCACATGCCAGAACAGAACCAGTCTTGTTGCCAACTCATGGTGACCCCATGTGTTACAAGTAGAACTGCTCTATACGGTTTTCAAAGCTGTCACCTCTCAGAAGCAGACTGCCAGGTCTTTCATCCATGGCACACCTGGGTGGGTTCCAGCTGCTAACCTTCAGGTTAGTTGTTGTCGTTTTTTTTCTGTCGAGTCGGCCCCAACTCATAGCGACCCCTCCTTGGGTTTCTGAGGCGGTATCACTATGGAAGTAGATTCTTCAACCTTCCTTCTGAGGAGTGGCTGGTGGGTTTGAACTGCCAGCCTTCTGGTTAGCAGTCAAGTGCCTTAGGCACTATGCTATCAGAGCTCCCTTCAGATTAGTAGTAAACCATCTGCAACAGCCAGGGACCCCACTCTAAACAAAAAATTATCATAACCTAACATAAAGCATCTTTTAAAAAATCACGCTTTCCCCAGATTTTACTAAAGCATTTATTTTTTAAACAAAAATATACATTAAATCTCAGATTTATAGAACATAGAAATAATTTATCCAAAGCAATTTGCATTTTTAAATTGTTGATATTGCACCCAACAGTACGAGTCTTTGACACATTTGCATTGTCAATCTTTCCCACAATTAGCAGATCGGGACAGAAACCTGAAACTGACAGAATGACGCAAGCTAAAAAAAGAAACTGTTTTTTTTATTTACAAAAGCAAACAACCCAAACTCACTGACATCGAGTCAATTTCACCTCATAGAGATCCCCATTGGGTTTCCAAAGCTGTAAATCTTTATGGGAGCAGACTGCCCCATCTCTCTTCTGCAGAGTGGCTAGTGGGTTCAAACCACCCGGCCTTTTGGTTAGCAGCCAAAATGCCTTAACCACTATGCCACCGGAGTTCCTTTTTATTTACAAGATAAAGAAACGTTGTAAACTTTCAGATATTTATTTCCATAGAATAAAAAGGCATACATTCATTCATTAGACCTAAAAAATGAAACGATAGACATGCTGTGATTTCCTCATAGGAATTCAAAGGGACAGATACTGTGAGCGTTTGTGGACTAATGGCAAAGAACACAAGTATTGAAATCACTTTTTCACTTTCCCCGTATTCGGAAACTAGTGTGTAGAATGAGAAAAACCTCTGGAAAAAATAACTCTTACCTCTTGGAGGATGGTTTCCATAGTAACCTAGGGTTCTCTTCAGTTTTAAAGGGACACACTACTGTTACTCAGTCTTAGAAATGTGGTTACCAACAGCCTTTTCTCTCAAGACAGAAGACAGGTGAAAACGAATGAGGCCTCAGTTCATTTCCCTTATAAAATCCTTCACATATAGGCAGCACAGACGTTTGCTTCCCAAAAGAAAGCTTTGCAAAATTCTCTGCAATTGATCATTGATATCTTCCGTGTTTTGAAATTCTTGTTTTAAAAGTCCTTAACTATCTGAATGTGTTCTTTAAAGAGGGTTGGGAATAAAATCACTTACTAGTACCAGTACTGCAGGAAGGTGCTAATATCGGCAGGAAGAGTAAAGTATGTAATGTGCTTTTTTTAACCTGGTAGTAAATGGAAGCAGACTGAAATCTCACAGTGAACACATCTGAAGTAATTTTTCTTGATTGAACTGAATTATTAAACCACTATGAAGTACTTACTGATGAAGATCAAAGACTACAGTCTTCAGTATGGATTATACGTCAAAATAAAAAAACAAAAATCCTCATAATTAGAGGAATGAGCTCCATATCCCACAAGAGATTACCCATGATAGTGGCACCACAGTGGGCTTCCTCACAATTAGAGCAATAAGCAACATCACAATAAATGGAGAAAAAAATTGAAGTCAGATCCCCAATCAACGCCCATGGAAGCAGCAGTCAGGAAATTAGATGGCTGATCGCGTAGGGCAAATGTGCTGCAAGGGACAGCTTTAAAGTGTTCAAGAGCAAAGGTAGCATTTTGAAGACTGAGTTGTGCCTAACCCAAGCCACAGTATTTTCAGTCACCTCATATGCATCTGAAAGCTGAACAATGAATAAGGAAGATCAAAGAAGAGTTGATGCCTTTGAAATGTGGTGTTGGCGAAGAGTACTGAAAGTACCATGGGCTGCCAGAAGAACAAACAAATCTGCCCTTGAAGAAGTGCAGCCAGAATGCTCCTTGGACGGCCAGACTTCATCTTACCTACTTTGGTCACGTTGTTATAAGGGACCATTCCCTGGAGAAGGATATCATGCTTAGTAAAGTAGAGGGTCGGAGAAAAAGGGGAAGGCCCTCAACAAGATGGACTGACACAGTGGCTGCAACGATGGGCTCAAGTCTAGCAAGGATTGTGAGGACGGTGCACGACCAGGCAGTGTTTTGTTCTGTTGTACGTAGGGTCGCTCTGAGTCGGAGCCAACTCAGGACACCTAACCCCAACATGACATGAAATCACGAAGCCCACAATGAACACTGAGGAAGTCACTGGACCACTTAGCTTGCAGATGACACACATTCATGAATCTTTCCATCATTCCCATTATAAATACAAATATTGGTTAACAAGACAGTCCAGAGGAAAAAAAAAAAGAGAGGCCTCTTGGAAATTCACACTGAAGGTCTCAGAATAACTGTGCTTTTATAATGCAATCCATTTGCATGGAAAGCGATGTTTTCTAATTCTGTTGTCCTGGATTGAAACTGGGTTAAAACATGCCCTTTGAATGAGAATGGTGGAATAATAGGACTTTGAAAATGCATCCTTGGCTTTGCTATTGGTTAATAGTCCAATCCAAGTAGTTTTATAAAGGTTATTGTCTTTAGTATCCTTGTGACAATTAAAAAAAAAATCCTGAGAGACTGTCATAAAAAAATATACGTTTCCTTTGTGTAACCGTTTCTCTACGTGTGATTCTGAGGGCAGTTCCTCAGCTCTCCACAGTCCGCCTGTACTCTGCAGTCCCATCCGCTATTATTGCCTCCAGTGGCGAGCGCTTCTTGCGGATGCTGCGTCCTGATGAGATGAGGTCCGCGTAGCCCCGCTGGTGCGAGAAGGCGTAGCCCGAGCGCCGCGAGGACACTCCCCTGCGGAACACGTTCTGCCGCCGCTTCCACTGCTCCTCTGCCTTTAACCGCTTGCGGTGCTTCAGAATCTGTCAAAGGAGGAAAGACGCGAACAGGCTAAGAATAACTGGGTGACTGAATGAAGGTAAGGTCTCTGACACATAGTAAGCTCATCCCCAAGGAGGTGGAGAGGAAGGTTGAGGTAGCACCTGCACCAGGCTCCTCTCACACCTGTCTCAGTATCACCAGCTAGGAGGCCCTGGGTGGTGGTACCTACAGTTCACAGGTTAGGCTGCTGACCAAAAGGTTGGGGGGTTCAAGTCCACCCCGAGGTGCACTGGAGGAAAGGCGGGCTCTCTACTTCCAACAAATCATCCATTGTAAACCCTGCTGAGCCCACTTCTGCTCTGAGGCACACAGGGTCACCGTGAGTGGCAATCAACTGGAAGGCAGCTAGTTTTTGGTTACCACCATCCCCACTTTATAGACGAGGAAATTAAGAGACAGGAGAGGTGAAGGAGCTTTTCTAAGACTACGGAACTAGAACATGGCATGCCAAGATCTCCCTCGTAAGCCAGTGCTCTTCCCAGTTTACCACTCAGGCTGGCTCAAGAGACAGAGAACACCGTAGCTCTCTTGCTTCTCACAACCTTCTGTTCTTGTCACTGGGAAAGGGAGGTCGTGGGGCTCCTGAAGGTGGCCCATCTAGCATCTACTCCTTTCTTTCTGAAGAGACTGACTGGAGGCCCTGGGGCAGGCAAATAGTGAAGCGCTCAAAAGGCTGGAGGTTCGAACCCCCCCAGAGGTGGCTGGGGAGACAGGCCTGCTGATCTGCTTTTGAAGGCTCACAGTCCTGAAAATCCTATAGAGCAGTTCTCTGGACACCTGGGGTCCCCATGAGTTGAAACGACTCAGTGGTAAACAACACAGCAGCCTTTCTCATGGGAAGCAGATGACACTCCCAGGGATGGGACAGACTGATTTCCCTTGCTAGGTACTAGGTTGGGAGCCCTGGGGACACAGTGGTTAAGTGCTCAGCTGCTAACCGAAAGGTTAGTGGTTCTAACCCACCAGCTGTTCTGTGGGAGAAAGACGTGGCAGTCTGCTTCTGTAAAGATCACAGCCAAAGAGACTGTATGGAGCACTTCCACTCTGTCCTATTGGGTCACTGTGAGGTGTGATCTAATCAACATCATCAAGTCAGGTACTAGGCTAGGAACAGGCATGGGAGAGAACTCTGGCTAGCGAGACCTAAGGAAGGGTACCTGGGGCCCTTCTGTGACAAGTTCTGAGGCTCCCAAGGGAAGGCTACAGACAAGTCAGTTTCTGTCTTCCCCTGGATATTGACATGCCAGGATGTAATACTAGAAACATCTGAAGCCATCTTGCTTCCGACTTCAAGGTGAACCAATAATAAAGATGGCAGAGGGGAGAGACACAAGCAAGCCAGGTCCTTTTTTGATGACATCCAAGTGCTCAATTAACCAAGTCTGAAGTCTGTTAGTTGTTACGTGAGTTGACAGGATACGTTGGTTTATTTCTGAGCCGTTTTGACTCACGGCTTTCTGTTACTTGTGCTAAAAAGATCCTGCTATAGGAGGTGAAGGAGCTCTGGTAGCATAGT